CATAACCTTGATACTTTAAGGGAAGTTCTTTTATTGCTCAAACGCTATAATTTATAGTTAAATTTTCAGAAATGTTGTTTTTCTGAGAACGACTATTGAATATTTAAGTTTATATTTTCCCCTTCAGGGATCACGTTAAGTTTCAGACATGTTGACGCTGTCGATAGATTTCCGCAACTGAAAAATAATTGAAGTACAAGGTTTCTTGTTTACCAATTATTTTTAAAAAAAATTCATTAAAGATTATGCAGTCAAGGCCATCTTTTACAAAAGTCAACTGTCTTCAACTTTGAAGAAAGTTGTCAGCGAGCTTTTCAGTTACTTAAGAAAGAATTAATTACTTATTCCGTTTTACGTTTATATAACCCGTTTTCTGCCACTGAAATTCATACTGATGCTAGTGCCGCTTGTTGTAATTTGTTCCAGTTCTAAATAAATAACACTTTATTTTGAAAGAATATATTTTGTCTTTTATTTACTAAACAGTCTTTTATATCGCAAGATTATTACACTTAAAAAGGAAAAGCAGTCAGTTAGTTAGTGTTCGAGATTCACAATCGCATCTTTAAAATTCGAACTTAACCGGCATCGAGAAACTTCTCGAAAATTTATCTTATAACAAACTCGACCGTTCGAGTCATCTCTCGCTTTTTTCGCGCCATAAAAAACGCTCAGTATATACAATTGACAACAACATTGTCAACCGCCGTCAAAATCCACGCAACGGTCGGGCATGCGCGCCTATACGTCACGATCAGCTGATGGCCAATCAGCTGATCGAAAAGGGTCGTGCGCATGGCAAACGCCGCAACGCTATTTCCTGACCTCATCGGCGGCCAATTATGCGCGGCGCCATGAGGTCACCGCCAAATTTTGAAGTTAATTGGGCCACGTCGCAACGGGGTCCAAAATCGCCCGGTATATAATGAGCCCAGCGAGAGGGCACGCGGAAGTCTTGCGCTTTTCGGAGTCATTACTTTACACTCACACCGCTTAGTTACGCCGCTTTGTCAAACCGCTTATAACGACCGCTTGCTCTTTTCGGACCACCGCTTTTCTCTCTATCAATATCGCAGACATATCCGCACGACGACCGCTAGTTTTTTGGACACTGAACTTTCTCGAACGTCACGCCGCTCGCGATACGTCGGACAAAAATCGCACTATCCCGCTGCACTCGATAATTGTTACTTTTGAAGGCCTGACTGCAATAAACTTTTGTTATCTCTACTTGACTTTTTCACTGCACTATCATCACTTTTCCGCGGCTCACTGTCGGACTCGCTCGCGAACATTCTGGTCCTTCGAGCCGGATTACCACCATCCGCGTCCGCTGTTTCGGAGTGGTCCTCCCAGTGCAGTGCAGTTCTGTGGTGTGCGGTGATTTCTGAAAATAGGAAGGAACAATGAGTGCTGATTTGAAGGCGTTGTTCGAGGCGCAGAACGACATCCATGGACGAATGTCCCGCTCCGTAGACAATCTGCGTAAGATGGGCGTCTCGAGCATCACCGCCGAAGCAATCCAGGCTCGCCTCCGCATCCTCGAGACGTTATGGACGAGATTCGAGGCCCATCACGACCTCATCGTGGCGGCTCTAAAGGACAAATATCTCGAAAGTGAGTACGCGAAAGCAGATTTTATCGATACTGCGGAAACCACTTACGTGACACAACGGAGCATGTTAGTCGATTACGCTAACAAGCTCAAGGGCGAGAAGCACGCCACGCTCAAAGGCGAGTCCTCTCCAGAGCAGGCTCCTAAGACGTCGTTGCCGCGCATCAAACTCCCCGACGTTCTCTGGGTCCTACGAAGAATGGCCCTCGTTCCGCGATCTCTTCCTGTCCGTCATCGGGGAGAATGCGTCAGTCTCCGACATCGAGCGCCTCCACTATCTCCGGTCTTGCGTCAAGGGACCCGCTGAAAGGTTGATCAAATCTTTGACTGTGACCGGTGACAATTATCAGCGCGCGTGGGTGATTCTGTGCAGACATTTCGAAAACAAACGAGAGCTCATTCGCTCTAATTTCGCCGCGTTTACTTCGGTCCCGAAGATGAAGTGCGAGTCCGCGGAAGAACTCGGTCGCATACACAACGCCGTTACGACCGCCGTGAATGCGCAGGAGAGTATCGGGAGGCCCGTCGACTCCCATGGTATGGACCTCCTCAACTTCCTCACTATCGAGCTCTTCGATTCGCGCACACGGATGGAATGGGAGTCCTCGATCAGCGACTCCACTGATCCGCCAGACCACGACACTCTCGTCAATTTCATCGCAAAGCGCATTCTCACTCTGAACGCCGCGAAACCGAGAGTATCGTCAAGGACCGCTGAAAGTACGCCGCGAACTGCGAAGGCTCACCACTCGAAGACCGGCTCCGACTATTCAAAGTGCGCACTGTGCCAAGGAAAGCACACGCTCATAGTGTGTGGCGACTTCAAGGCGAAGTCCGCGAGCGATCGGAAGTCCTTCGTAGAACAAAACCGACTGTGCTATAACTGTCTCGGGAATCACTTGGTCTCCAAATGCCAGTCCGTCAAAACCTGTTTCACGTGCAAAGGCAAGCACCACTCTACACTGCACGACGCGTATAGTTCGTCCTCTTCCAACGAAGTAAGCGCGCTAGCTGCGATGCACTCCTCGCCCGAGCGCAAGGCGATCCTTCTCGCGACAGCTCGCCTGCTCATCGCCGACCGCGCCGGGCATCTTCACCCAGCTCGGGCGATGCTCGATCAAGGCTCCGAGGTGTCGATCGTCTCGGAGGCGCTGGTCCAACGCCTGAAGCTCCCCCGCACAAGCTCTTCGGTGTCTATCATCGGCATCGGCGGGGCTCGATCCGGGTCAACCCGCGGCAGAGTGGCGCTCAACCTCTCCTCCACGGCCACGGGAACCAAGCTGAAAGCGGTCGCCTTCGTGCTGCCCGCGACTGTCGGCATATCAGGGGTCTTCGGTAGCCAACCTCTCCTCCTGGCCTCACGTCCGTGGCCTCGAGCTCGCCGACCCCCGATACCAGGAGCGCGAGGAGTCGAGATATTGCTGGGTGCGGAAGTCTGCTCGACCATCTTGGAGGCCGGGCTCCGCAAGGGTGGTCCTCGTGAGCCAGTCGCACAGAAGACGGCCCTAGGATGGATCCTGTCGGGAGGATCTAGCTCGGCGTCCTTCCAGGGTCCCCGGAGCTCCCTGCAATGCACGGTGGACCCAGAATTGAACCAACTCGTACACAGCTTCTGGGAGCAGGAGAAGGAATTCCCTCCCCCCGCCGCACTCACACCGGAGGAGGAACAGTGTGAGATCCTCTTCACGCGCACTTACCAGCGGACTGCATCCGGTCGGTACGTTGTACGCCTTCCGTTCTCTTCCTCGCCAACGTCGCTTGGTGAGACCCGAAAATCCGCTGAACGCCTCCTGAACGCCATGGACCTCCGGTCCAAGATAGACCCGGAGTTCGGTGCCAAGTATCGGGAATTCATGCAGGAGTACGAGGACCTGGAACACATGAGTCCTGTGAGCTCGACTAATACAGCTGCATGCTACCTACCGCACCACGGAGTCCTCTGCCAGTCCAACTTCGGCTCCAAGCTCCGGGTGGTATTCAATGGATCGCAACGCATCACCTCGGGGGACTCTCTGAACAGCCACCTGATGGTCGGCGCCAACCTGCTTCCGGCCTTGGCTGACATTCTTCTCCGCTGGCGTCGGCACCGCTTTGTATTTGTCACGGACATCGAGAAGATGTTCCGGCAAATCCTCGTCCACCCCGAAGATCGCCGCTTCCAACGGATTCTCTGGCGCCCGAGAGTCTCTGAAAGAACGCAAGAATATGAGCTCAACACCGTCACCTAGGGGCTCGCCTGCGCGCCGTTCCTCGCCGTCCGCACACTCCGCCAACTGGCTACTGACGAGGAAGCACGAGGTCTAAGGGGGGCCCTCGCTCTACGCCATGATTGCTACATGGACGACGTCATAACGGGAGCCGACTCCTTGCACCATGCCGTCGCTCTGCAAACAGAGCTCCGAGAGCTTTGCACGGCGGGCGGGTTTCCGCTCCGGAAATGGGCCGCCAACAGCGAATCCATCCTTGAAGGGGTGCCCTCTGATCACCGGCTGCAGCTAGCGCATCACTCCTGGGAGAACGAGGTGCATTCCACCTTGGGCCTGCGCTGGCATCCCGCCAGCGACGACTTCTCCTTCGCGATCCAGGCTCCAGTCACAGGCGGATACACCAAGAGGCGAGTCCTGTCAGAAACGGCGCGGTTGTTCGACCCTCTAGGATGGCTAGCTCCCGTCATCATCCGCGCCAAGATTCTAATACAGTCTGCATGGCTGAAAGGGCTGGATTGGGACACTCCGCTCCCAACCGAGGACGCCCAGCCCTGGCAGCGTCTCCTCTCCGAGCTCCATGTGCTGGGGCGCCTCAGGGTGGAGCGCTGGCTAGGGACGACTCATCAGGCGTCGCAAATTGAGATCCACGGATTCGCCGACGCGTCCGAACGTGGCTTTGCTGCCGTCGTCTATCTCCGCGTGACCACTGCCGACGGGACGACCACTCATCTTCTCGCCGCTAAAACCAAGGTCGCTCCCATAAAGCCCGTGACACTCCCGCGGCTGGAACTTTGCGCTGCCTCCTTGCTCGCGAACCTCACGTGCCATCTCCGGACTTCACTAGATATACCGTCAGCGCCGGTATACCTCTGGTCCGACTCCAGGGTCGCCCTCCACTGGATCAAGGGTCACGCCTCGCGATGGAAGACCTACGTGGCCAATCGGGTGTCGCTGATACAACAGCGGCTACCCGAAGCACAGTGGAGGCACGTTCCTGGCCAGGATAATCCAGCCGACTGCGCATCCAGAGGAATCGCCCCGTGGGATTTGGTGGACCACCCCCTCTGGTGGAGTGGCCCCGACTGGCTCCCCAGGGACTCGTCGCTATGGCCAGACCAGGACAACCAGACCATGATGGGCGAGGTCCCTGAAATTAAAGGAACTATATTAGTCGCCACATGCAGGGACAAACCGGAGCCGGAACTTCTTCTTCAGTTTTCCTCTCTACACCGGCTCTTACGTGTGTCTGCATGGTGTCTCCGCTGGCGGCCATCCGGTCGTCATCCTCTCAGCACCGTTCTGCTGCCGAGCGAACTTGACGTCTCTCTCTTCCGCTGGCTCAGAGTCGTCCAAGGGATCCATTACGCCGCTGAGATCGCTGCCGCTCGAGAATCTCGCTCGATGCCCAAGGGCGGCCACCTGGCTAAGCTGCACCCCTTCATCGACAGCCAAGGAATCCTCCGCGTTGGGGGTCGCCTGAAACACGCGATATTGACCTACGATGAGCGCCACCCCATGATAGCGCCTCCAGCTTCATGGCTTACCCAGCTCATCGTAGAGTCTTGCCACCGACGGACGCTGCATGGAGGCACGCAGCTCACACTGGGACTACTCCGCCTCCGCTTCTGGGTGCCGCGAGGTCGAGCCGTGGTCAAGCGGATCCTACACCGATGCGTGACGTGCGTACGCTGGCGAGCCAACACTCCGCGGCCTCTGATGGGGGATCTCCCGCCAGGTCGTGTTACTCCAGCGCGCCCCTTCCTGAGGACAGGGGTCGATTACGCCGGTCCGATATTCCTCCGCACATCCAAGGGGCGAGGACAGCGAGCACACAAGGCCTTCATAGCCTTATTTGTCTGCCTTTGTTCCAGAGCAACTCACCTGGAAGTAGTGTCCGACTACTCGCACGGACGCATTCCTTGCCGCATTCCGCAGGTTCATCTCCCGTCGAGGCCTGTGCGAGGAAATGTACTCCGACTGCGGCACCAACTTCGTCGGAGCGGACAGGCAGCTGCGAGAGTTCTTCCGTGCGTCTTCCCCCGACGGCCGTCGCATCGCGCAGGGAATCACCAAGGAGGGCGTATCCTGGCGCTTCAACCCTCCTGCCGCGCCGCACTTTGGAGGGCTATGGGAGGCCGCGGTGAAATCGACCAAGCATCACCTGCGACGAGTGATCGGAGAGTCTACTCTCACCTTCGAGGAGATGAGCACTCTCCTAGCGCAAATCGAGGCTTGCTTAAACTCTCGTCCATTACAGGCCTTGTCGGATGATCCGGATGACCTGTCTGCCTTGACTCCAGGTCACCTCCTCATAGGCGCTCCGCTGTTGGCAATTCCGGAACCTTCGCTGGCAGACCATTCACCGAACACGCTGTCGCGATGGCAGCTACTCCAGCGAATGCGTGACCACTTCTGGCAGCGATGGTCACAGGAGTACCTCCACGCCTTGGCACCTCGGTCGAAATGGCTCAAGGCCGAGCCAGCACCAGAAGTCGGAGCACTGTGCCTCATCCGCTCGGAGTCCACCTCGCCCACCCATTGGCCCCTCGCGAGAATTACCCGGTTACACCCCGGAAGCGACGGAACGGTCCGCGTCGTGACCGTCCGAACCTCCACCTCGGAATTCGTCCGGCCGGTGGTGAAACTTGTCCTCCTGCCGGGGGTCAAGGAAGCTCATGCGTCCGCGAACGAATAGCGCTCGAACTATTCCCTCCGCGTGTCACTTTCGCGACGCTGTATATATGTAATATAGTAACCGCACTCTACTTCACTCGTTCATATTGTATATTTCTTCACCACTCCACTCCGCGATCAGCCGCTTATCGTTCACCGCATACCGCCGAGCGACATTAACTAATCACCCACCTCAATTGTGCGAAAATCATTTCATCGATCATCGCATTCCGCATTGTACTATACACCATCTAATCACTGTAAATATTTCACTTCATATCACATCATTTTCCACCTCGAAATAATCCGACAAACTGAGGAACACGTGTCGGCGTGTTACGTCACACATTCCTCTCATTGATCGCGATCCACGCTTCATCAATTGAACCGCTCGCGACACCTGCCCGTCCCCGCACGCACTCGCGAGTTTCGTCACGCGCTGACGAGGCGGGCGGGATGTTCGAGATTCACAATCGCATCTTTAAAATTCGAACTTAACCGGCATCGAGAAACTTCTCGAAAAATTTATCTTATAACAAACTCGACCGTTCGAGTCATCTCTCGCTTTTTTCGCGCCATAAAAAACGCTCAGTATATACAATTGACAACAACATTGTCAACCGCCGTCAAAATCCACGCAACGGTCAGGCATGCGCGCCCATACGTCACGATCAGCTGATGGCCAATCAGCTGATCGAAAAGGGTCGTGCGCATGGCAAACGCCGCAACGCTATTTCCTGACTTCATCGGCGGCCAATTATGCGCGGCGCCATGAGGTCACCGCCAAATTTTGAAGTTAATTGGGCCACGTCGCAACGAGGTCCAAAATCCGCCCGGTATATAATGAGCCCAGCGAGAGGGCACGCGGAAGTCTTGCGCTTTTCGGAGTCATTACTTTACACTCACACCGCTTAGTTACGCCGCTTTGTCAAACCGCTTATAACGACCGCTTGCTCTTTTCGGACCACCGCTTTTCTCTCTATCAATATCGCAGACATATCCGCACGACGACCGCTAGTTTTTTGGACACTGAACTTTCTCGAACGTCACGCCGCTCGCGATACGTCGAACAAAAATCGCACTATCCCGCTGCACTCGATAATTGTTACTTTTGAAGGCCTGACTGCAATAAACTTTTGTTATCTCTACTTGACTTTTTCACTGCACTATCATCACTTTTCCGCGGCTCACTGTCGGACTCGCTCGCGAACAGTTAGTTAGTTAAAAAAAAACACACTAGATCAAAAATGTAAGTACATGGTTATTACCAACCTAAAAACATAAAAGGACCTGAACAAGCTAATAAACTATTAAATAACTCTGATGAGCAACAACAAAAATATATTAAATATCAACACTGCTGTCGCGGGAATTTTGCTTCAAAAACAAGAGTCTAATAATTATTATAGTCAGGCAACGAATAAAGCAGAAGCTAATTATCATAGCTTTGAGCTGGAAATGCTTGCGATTGTTAAAACAATTGAGAGATTCCATATTTATCTTAGAACATATATAATATGAAAGAGGAATTGAACGTTGAGCCTGAAGCAAACATCTGTGCGAAAGAGAAAGCTATAGACCCCCAAATGTTTGTAATGCGCATGCGTTGATCTCAGTTGTCAATCTCACATGTGTTTTCACGTTGATTACACGTTATTATTACAGAAATGTCAAATACATAGCAAAAATGCCAAACGCATATTGTGTGTTGTGTGGTAATCGCGATAAATTGGTTTCATATTATACGTAAGTAACTGTATAAAATATTATATGCATGCATTGAATTATGTGATAACAAATAGGTTATGTTTTTATATATTATTTAATGATATTACATGTTTTATATTTATTTGTTTATATATAAAATAGATTTCCGAAAAATAAGGAATTTCGTAAAAAATGGCTGTCTTTTTGTGGCATCAACGAAAAAGTTTTGAACACAACAACTAAATTATGTTCAAATCATTTTCAAAAAGAAGATATCATCAACAAAGCGAAAAGTTCAATCATTAAGCCCAATGCTGTGCCGTGCATTATTATTAAAAAGAAAAGGTTACACATAGAAAATGTACCATTGAGCGGTAATATAACATTACTCTTTTTATATCCTTACTTGAAATGACTCGTAAATTGATTAATGGAGTGACAATAAATTAATTAATAATCATCTTCACAGAAAATTATGCAATAATAAATCTTTCACCGTCAAGTTATGAAAGAACTGCCAAAACTGAAACAGTTGCAGAAGAATCTAAAACAAATCAAATTGCCACTGATGAAATCATTGTCGAGACTGAAAAAGTTACAGAAGAGATTAGAACAAATCAAATTGCCACCGATGAAATTGAAAATATGTATTTTAACAATGCATCTCACAAAGGTAAAATTTCTCATGATTAATTTTTTTTTTAATTGATTAATTTTTCTTGATTCCAGAAAATATAGCAGTAAATCGGCCATCAACACCATTAAGTTCTAGGAATATTGAGTGCTTTCAGACATCTATCAAAACGGTACGTGTACCTCGCTATGTTGGTGACATTCAAATGTCACATATTTATACACCTAGAAGAGCTAAAAGAGCTTTAAATATAGCAAAGAGGATCATACAAAATCAACAAAAAAAGATAAAAGCTTTAAAACAATCACAAAGAAGATTAGTTACTCGCCTAAAAACGATGGAAGGATTAATAGGACATTTGAAACAAAAAGATCTATTATCAGAAGCGACTGCTGAAAATTTAATGGTAATTTCAAATATATAGGTCGATATTCATAGTCCGTCCTTATTTTAAGATCGTTTTAAATAATGTTTTAAGACGCTAATACGGCTCTGTGATTGGCTTATGACATTTTAAGACTGTACTTAAGATGATCTTAAATATAAAATCCGAATATGAATACCAACCGTAGAGGACCCAAGGAGAATAAAGTCAAAATAATGTTATTTGACATTATATTGACCAAAAAATAACCAAAAAATGACGTGAAAATGACATTTTTTGTCATTTTTGGTCAATATGATATCAAAATGACATTATTATATAGGATGTATCTTTTATTAATTGAAATATATATAAGGAAATCAGAAAATGGGGAATGAGAAATTTGTATATTTAAATAATAAAGTAAAATAAATAATAAATATGTGAGTAGTAGGAGTAAGGGGGTTCTAACTCAGGTCCTCTCAGGAGGGGTGTGGCGCGAGGGGAACCGTGGTGCGGGGGGAGTGACGTCACGCGCGGGGAAGGAGGAACCGCGGCGCGCGGAGGGTGACGTCACCCGCGGGGAAGGGGGATCCGCGGCGCGAGCGATGGACGAGGGGGTCCGCGCAGTGAAGGGGGATCCGCGGCGCGACCGATGGACGGTGGTGTCGTCAGAAGGACAGCGCTACGTGTGGGAAAAGGACAGTGCAAAGTGTGAAGAGGACAGTACTACGAGTGCGATAAGGATGGCGTTAACGTGGGACAAGGACGACGTATAGGTGAGAGAAGGACGACGCAAAGGTAAGTGAACAACGAGTATATTCTAAGCGAAAGAGAGAGAACGATAATATCGAGAATAACAACGCATATGAAAGAGAGAACGATAGCGTCAAGACGACGTGTACAAGAGAGAGAGAACGATAATATCGCGAGACTTACAATTAGTGCGCGCGCGAAAGAGAGAACGATAGCGCGAAGACTTACAACTAGCGCGTGCGAGAGAGAACGATAATATCGCGAGACTTACAACTAACGAGTATGATAAAGATAACAATATTTAAAACTAGCGCGAAAGAGACGCAAGAGAGACGCAAAGATGGGAACGCATGGAGAGGCGCATAAATAATTAGATTGTTTTTAAATTAAAATATATATAAAATTTATTAAAAATATGTATTTACAATTGTGTGTGTGTGTGTGTGTGTGTGTATGTACTTAAAATTAAGATTATAATAAAATAAAATATAATAATAAAATAATAATAAAAATAATTTGATGGTGCGGGAGGGGGGGGGGGGTGAAGCCGCTCCTGGAAGACTAGGGGATGTGTCGGGCTGAGGGACTTCCGCTCCTGACCCTCTCGTCGACTATTCATGTACTCTCGTAAACTCTGAAATTAAACATAATAATTGTAAATGTTTTAAATTTATTACACATTAGCAAAAATATTTTTACCTTCAACGTTTCCAAGTCATGTCGTAGCATATTCTCATGCACATCTTCTTCGAATTTGTCTATACCTTTACATAATTCAAGATGTTCACAAAGTCTATTTCCGAAACATTTTACTTTAGTGTGATTAGGATCTTCCGCATATATACAATCTATACAAAAACTCGCATTACATTTTTTAACTGAGTTCGCCCAAAATTTTCGAGTTTTGAGAAATCTGTTCAACGAAATTGTGCGAGGTTTTTTCAAGCCGAGCTCACGATTTCTTATAAATTGAACGACTGAGGTTTCCAGATTTTTCTTCGAAAGTTGTTCCCGCTCATACTGAAGTAATTCTTCAACATCACTAGTTCGAAAATCGAAATCAGGTTCCTTATCAGATGATTCTTCTTTCGCATATAATTTCTTCCATTTCGCTCTTCTCTCTCTCTCAATCTCAATTTTTTCCACCACAACGGGATCCATCCAGGCATCATATTCATTCATATCTTCATTGCCGATGATTACGTTTTCTTCAACATCATTATCATCCATATCTTCATTACCGATGATTACCGTTTTCTTCGGCCATTTCACTAACGTAACACACACAAGACTAATGAAACGCAAAGAACAACGAAAGAAATGATACTCTAGTGCAGCAGACTCCTCTTCATTATATATCTTTTTAATATCTCGCGTCTCATTCCAATTAGAGCATCGCGTCTCATCTACCTCAGCATTTCTCTACATCTTTGGCGGAGCGTGTTGAGAAAAATTGTCGACTATTCTTATTCGTATGGAAGGAAAGAAATAAAATCATAGATGGAATAAAAATAATTATTTATTGCACGCATCGTAAAGAATATCATTTACAGCACATGTT